TTTATGCCTGAAAATGTAAACTATTGCCAAGATTTTCTTAGCTATATCAGCAGTATTGACCCTTACAAGCTGAAGTTTTTTTGGAAAGTATATAAATAGCTCGTAGAGTTGAAGAAAAATACATGTATTTTTGGCAATGAGTAATAATACAATTTCAAAATTTCCTGAGTGAGAGAATTAGGGATGTGATGAGGCAAGTTTCAACAATCAATAATCCACTTTTTTTTCTAACACAAAATGATTTCAGTGCGTTAATGTTCGATTATAGAATTTTCATTTCTAAGCTGAGAACACAACTGGGCTTTCAATACAGCTATAACATAGAGAACAAAAACATGAATAAAGATCACAGCGAAGAGGTATGTTTCCAACCAGGATCAGACGTTTAATTAATCAATAAACCATAGCTTGTCCAATATTGTTTAGTTAAGTGTATCATTGACATCCTCACAGGCTTTTGCAAGAGCACTTAGTCCTGAAAACGTATCTGAAGTTGACTGTAAGGCTCTAGTATCTGTTTCAGTGAATTCAGTGCTCTTTGGGTTTATCTTTTCCAAGAGGTCTTGGAGGCAAACAGTTATCAATATCTTGAGGTCGTGACATTTTCAGGCTTTCTTGGATACCTACTGCCAGCATGAAATTATCGTCGGGTGGAAACAGGCTGGGCAATTCTGCTTCTCCATCACACACACTGGGTATTTCCAATGAACTTAAGTAGGATGGAATGCTGGCTTGGCTTGAGATATTTGGCCGATTAATCCCTCTATCCTCCCACAGTTTTCTGTAGGAATTTCGAACGGAAGTTTTGCCAGAATAGTTTTGCGTCACATCACATTTTTCGGCTGAAAGGATCTCCTTTAAATTGGCTCCTGGCACAGGCAGTTTTCCCTTTAGGATTACTTTGAGGTGTTTGGCATCCTTGTAGAGAAGGAACCAATTTTCAATGCATTGCATGTTATCTCTGGTTGTTAAATGAGGGGGGCATTGGGATTTTAGGTTTTGCGTTTTTGGCTATTTTTTAGATCGCTTTTTCAGTTTTTGTGCCAAAAGACTTCAGCTTTTCAGTTTTGGTGTTCATTGCGGTTTGTGGATTTTTCGTTTTTTAGCAACTGGTTTTCAGGTTTTCAAAAAAATACTAGCGGTTTTTTGGTTTTGGTATCTGGTGTGGTTTTTGGTTTTTCCTATTTTGTCCTATTTGGGTTCTGGTTTCTCCTCAATTTGAGCGGTAATTGATCTCGAATAGCCACGAAACACCAAAGTTATCGAGAGAAATGCGTGGCAAGTACTAAATGTCATGGTAAGGGATCATGCATCTCAAACGACGCCCAAGACTTTGACTTCGCAGACCAGAGCGATTATTTGGTCATTTTTCAATTTGCCTCCCGCGCAAGCAACGGAAGAAGCAATTGTGGATTGTGTTGCGTTTTTTAAAGAGAATTTTCGAAAGAAAAACACATTTAGATGTAGATTGAAAAGGGAAGAGAGAAGCCTACAGAAACTAAAAGATACCAACAGATACGAAGGCTTCAGACAAGTCCATGACATTCACAAATACTTTCATTGATAAAATTAGTGTTAGTGTAGTGTATGCCCCACTTGTCACCATTGCATTGGTTTTTGACGGTTTTGTATGTGGCTTTTGGTTGTGCGGGAATTTTTTTTTGCGGTTTTGGATGATTTTTTCTTCGGTTTTGTGGTTTCTAATATACCCCAATGCCCCCCCCCTCCCCCCCCCAGAAATATCTGCCTGGGTCGCTTTCTATAAGATGATGCTGCACCTTGTAGACATTAAGTGCTCTTGGATGGATTTGGCTACTGCTTGCTTTACTTACATTGCATTTCTCACCAATTTAATGTTCTTCAACACTTCTTGTTGCTGTTTTTCCAGTTGTTGTAACTGTGCCTTTTGTTCTGGATGTTTACTTATGGCCCCACGGTGAAAAAAGGTTTCGCAGCACTGATATGGACAATTTGGACGATTGTGCCTCTCCTGTCGATGACAGTTGCTGTAAGTTGGTCTGCCTTTACATTTTGTCTTCTTGAGGCAACTTTCGATCCATGTTGTAAACTTTTGTTCTTTGATTTCCAGCCTTCTCGGCTTTTCTTCTTGATTTTCAAGGTACCTTTCAGGAGGTGATTTGAAACACGAGGTGGAACCGGTGAGCTGCAATGAACCAGAGTCCTGTTTAGTCTTGTTCTTCTCAAATTCCGAACTTTGGCAGCTTGCAGCTTTTCCTACCTTGCTTGTTCCCGGCATATACAAGGCGGTAAGGCTTTGTTGCTGGCTGGCTCTGTTTCTTTGCAAAGTGGGAGCTGGTGAATTGGACTGCTCTTCCATGACTGTGGTACGTTTGAATTCTGCATTTTCAATGGGGACGCCACATTGAAACATTTCTTGCACCAAATCCTAGTCAGAAAGATTGACACAGGTCTTCTCATCGTCAAGGTACCTTATTCTTAAGTCTTGGTCATCAATGTTGTTAAAATGGCTTGTTACTTAATTTGCGAATTTTGTCAACTTACATGTATCGTTGTCGTGAAAAATTTATTGTGTCGAATGCATCTGAAAAAACCGCTCCGAATTTGTGCTGATCATATTTTATCTTCAGCTTATCAACAGTGGCCATGCAGACAGTTCTACGGTAGACAAAAAGTGCAGTAAGCTTTCCTCTTGAAGATAGACATGTTGTGAATGAACATTATGTAATATGAAAAAGTCACGAGGCCACACAGGAAAATTGTCCACACGTGGACTGGTGCATTTCAATGTACCACGTGATTCATGGGTTTGAAACAAACTCATGGCATCAAAAACGTTACTATGACGGCGGCAAAAAAATTCGTAGATGTTGTGGTCTACTGGGAACAGTAGTAGGTAACGCTGTTTACCTTCCATAATGTCTCCTCGTTTAAATGGGTTTTGAAATCGATATTAATTTGAAGTGGTTTTGTGGACCATCTAAAGCGAAAAAATAGATCATTGCTGGCAACAGGATAAGATCATGCTAAATTGGGTCTTGTTATAAAATGAGTTAAATTCAGTAATTTGTTGACTAGCAAACATGACAATTTTACTCTTCATACCAACGTTTGTTACTTGATACTTTTGTTTTCCTTGTAAAGGTATACAACGTGATACCCTTGTTTTCTTGAAAACATAAGGGCAATGTGCTTTTTCTTCATTGCTGGAGATAAATGGTATAAAGGTAAATATCTGTTGAAAAATGGAAGAACAATTTTATTATTCAAAAAGGTAATTGTCATTTCACCATTAAACAAAAACTAATCTAATTATCAGATAGTCACGTCTGACATGTCAAGTCACGGAATAGCACATTCTTATTCTGTTGCCACCTATGCCATTAACAGTAAAACCACTTCAAATTACTACACAATGATATCAACTATAATACAACTGAGAAGCATTTCAAGGAGAACCTATGGTATAAACTATTTTCAACAACCGACACTGGAAAGCTGGTGTACTACAGGGGTGTAGCTAGGGGGTCCTGGGGTGCCCATGACCCCCCTTTGTAAGCCTTTTTTAAGCAAACAACCTGCTACAGGTGGCGAAAACGACATGACAATCTAGGTGAGTACCCTCACTTTGACATAGTGTGACCCCCCCCACTTTGAAAAATCCTGGCTACACCCCTGCACTAACTTGGAAGAAACGCATCTTAACAGATATTAACAACTACCGGTACCTTACAAACAACTTATCCACGATGTAAATGAAACTGACAAACGGATCTGTAACAGACGGACTTAATTTGACTAACAATAGACGGACTTCAAACAAACCAATTTGTCTAACAATAGACAGATTCAAACGGACCAAGAACTGCTGACATACTTTTCATGAGTCTTACAACCAATACCATCATGGCTTAACTGACCAGTCGCTTTCAACAGACCAGACTTATAACACCATCAACTGACAAACACTACTCACTTGACTCATAAGATGACTTCCGCTCAGATTGTTGAAACGACAGTCACCAACAACGGTTCTTTTCGGAACTACCCTCACCCGGATGATCACACAACCCAAACTAAAGAATGTTTTGTAAGCTACACCTATGGTGAAACAAATTTTTAGTGCAAAACCATGCATTTTTTGCGTATAGTTTGTATACCATTTATCATTATGATCATAAACAGAAAAATCTACTGCTCAAACAAAAAAAAAATTCAAACAAAAGGCAGATGTAAACACTAATATACATGTTTCCCCAAAAACTGGCCTCTAGGTGATGTAAACAATACTTATAATTATGCTTTCCTATTGTTGTTTACACCATATCTTTTCTCTAAAGAGTGCAGAACAAATATCCTGAGAAGCTCATTGATTCAAACATCAGCAGATTCAACCACACCTATTGAGCCACCTTAACTAATTAACGCAAAGAGACCAACACTGAACACACAAGCGGCCCCATTTATGCAAACCTGTTTCATTAGCTGACACTTATCGTGACTCTTTGACACACCTAAACCAATCTATGTCTGAACTGTACAACTTAAAAATCTGCATTTGATAGTAGTGACAAGATTATGCTCTAATTGAAACAAAACACTGAATGCAAGTTAGATTTGTAATGTATTTGTAGCTGCTTTCAATCCTAGACATAAAAGAGAACAACAGAAGCTTTTGATTAATTTTGATACTGGTAACATAATCTTGAGTTCACTACATTAAGAAATGTGTTGACCCTCTATGGTAACTCTATAAAAATACTGAAATAGACCACCAATACAGCTGTGTAAAATGTGTCAAGTTGATGGTCTCATTTTTAAGTACTACCAGCACCACAAAAATGTTTAAGGGGGGAGTGTGTTAGTTTTTTTAGTTCTTAATTTCTCAATATTGAATACATGTAACTTACATGTTTGTAACTCTACCAAGCTGAATGGCATAACCTTAACCTTAGATAAGGGTATTTCTCAGTTTAGTAATAGCGACGTGACAGTTATGTGTTAATGTCTGTTGTTTTTAGGTCAATGTGTATGAGCAATCTGACAGCACTGTTGCTGGATTATAACAAGTAAGAACCATGTCCTTTTTCTCCTCAATTAAGAAATAAGTGTTTTTCATATTTGGATATAGCAACTCAAGTAGAAACAGAAGAAAAACATGAGCTCTGGAAACACGTGTCATAAACACATCACTTAGTGTTTCTAATTCTCCCAAACTTTCAGTAGTGATCATCACACTGACCGTTTTGAATCCAGTTCATACAATAATATTTTTACAAAAACTGCAGAAATTCTTGCATGCCCATTGGCTAATTTTCATTGTCAAAATAGAGCAGTCAGACACATGAATTTATAATTTATACCTTTTTGTTATTGTAAAAAACAATTTGATGTCAGGTTTTCTTGCATCTGTCCTGTTATTGACAATGCATTTTATCACAACATTGTCAAATTAGTGTGCAGATTCACTTTGCTATTGCCTAATGAATCCACAGTTACTTTGACAAAGTTATTACAAAATTCATGATCAACAGGACAGATGCACAAAAAACTGCTGTCACTTTGTTATGTCCCCTTTGGGCGACCCTAAAAGCCAGAATGATGGAACAGCAGAATCACAGAACGGCGGAAAATGACCCCAAATCCTAAAAGATAGAATCACAGAACAGTGGAACAGCGGAACAGCGGAAAATGACCCCAAATCCTAAAAGATGGAACTGCGGAACGGCAGAATGGTGAAAAATCCCCTGAAATCCTAAAAGACGGAATGACGGAAAATCCCCTGAAATCCTAAAAGATGGAATGACGGAAAATCACTCGAAATCCTAAAAGACGGAATGACAGAAAATCACCTGAAATCCTAAAAGATGGGAATGATGGAAAATAACCTGAATTCCTAACAATGGAATGACGGAAAATCACCCGAAATCCTAAAAGATGGGAATGATGGAAAATCACCTAATATCCGAAGAGCAGTTAAGGAAAGTGAAAAAAGGTACGTGTTTGTGAAACCCCCCTCCCTTGTAAAATAATACTTTCTTTTGTTGTTGTTAAGAATTTGTTATCCTTTGGATTTCTACTACCAATTCTCATATAGCTTTCGCATAATACAGTCCATGTGAGAGGTTGTGTCACGCCGTCACTCTGTCACGCTGTGCAGACAAAGCAAGGTAAATCCTAAAAGCCACAGATAAGCAGAAAATCACCACAAATCCTAAGAGACAGAAAGTCGTGAATTTGCTGTATTGTTCAAAAAGCAAGTATTTTCCTCAAACTTTATTTCACTTCAGTGGGAATCAAGTAAAATTACAGTAAACATAACATCTGGGACATGTCAAGTGAATGACAGATTTGACAGCTAGCGACAACAGGCCACCACGTGCAGATGAAATTTGCAACGAAGCCAACAAAGTGCAAATCGTCGACTCAGTATGAGCTAGTATGCACTGAGTATGACGTTTAAATGGCCCTCCCTGAAAGGGAAGTCTATTGCAGACAAATCTCTGGTGTGCCATGGTTTGCCACTATTTCAATTTCTTTTAGGAATTTGGGTGATTTTTCATCATTCCGTCTTTTAAGAATTCGGGTGATTTTCCGTCAGTCCCTTTTTTAGGATTTAGAGGGATTTTCTGTCATTCCATCTTTTAGGATTTGGGGTCATTTTCTGCCATTCCAGCGTTCCGCCGTTCCGCCGTTCCGCCATTCCACCGTTCTATGATTCCATCTTTTAGGATTTGGAGTCATTTTCCGCCATTCTGTGATTCCACCATTCCGCTGTTCCGTCATTCCGGCTTTTAACATCCCCCGTCCACTTTCAGTGTCATGTGCAATTAGGCAACATCTTTCCACCATCTTTCAACATGCTATGTAGATGGCTGAAAGACCATTTAAAGTGCCACTGAAACGAAATTTTTGTATGTGAGATTTTTGCTTAGTAATAAAGTTTCAACCTTACTTGGAAACACTGCAAACTTTTTTTTCG